AATTGTACAACTTACCTCTGGTGAAAGTTGAGACATATAAAACTTCGGACAAAGTTTGGAAGAAGACAAACCAATGGATTAATGTTGAAAACATGGTCGGCGTTTAAAGCTATAGCTATTATACTTCATTAGTGCACGTTCACGAGTAATGCGAGGCGATATTCCCGGTTTGGTAACTTGAAGTAAAAGGTTTTAGACATTAGTTTAGCCTTTAAACTGTTATTATTAACCATCTCCACGAACATGTTGAAAGCATCGTTTGCTTTTACCTAATAAAACTCTCATCGTATATTTGAAATTTTAAAAGAAAAACAAACAAACATAAGTCGTCATTTCGCTATTACTGAAAGGTTAGTTTCCTTTTAAATACAACATAGGCACGGAAGGAAATAAACGGCATTGATGGGGCGAAGACAGCTGAGAAAGTTGGTGCCAATGTCTATAAATAGTGCCAGATATGATTTCTGAGGGCACTTGTGTCGTCTGAGGGTGCAGCTTACAAACTTTGAAAGTTTGCTCATGCTGCTAACAAAATCACCGGTAGGAGTGTAATTCGTGCCATGATTTTAAAGTCTTTGTCCTACATCAGTTGAAAGCGTTACTGCAACACCGGAGATGAAATTCATAGCAAGCTTTACAACTCAGTCATAAGGAGATATGCCTCTGGCACACAACTAATTTATTCCTCTGGTAGTTCTCAGTTCAGTTTGTTTTAAAAAGGAACGGAGTTTTTTGAGAGACACTCAAAATATTGAACTGAAAGCTGAGTTCTAATGTTCTTTTTTGACAGTGATTTGACAAGGGTTCCGTAATTTTAAAGTGTTTATATTTGATATTCACTGGACTTGGACGTTTCCCTTAAATTAAGAAGATCATTCGATATAAAACTAGCAGTTATGCCTCCGGTTGTTCAAACATTAGATAATGATATCCACTGAATAAATCACTATTCACTCGGCAGCCGAAAAGTATTAAGGCGTGAAACTATTTGTGTTATCCACTGAAAAGAGTAACTTCAAACGTTATATCCACCTTTTGAACACTCTTAGGGCCATGTCGTTTATCGATTGAAAGATCAAAAGAAGCCTTCATTAGTACACTTGGAATCAAAAACAATAAGAGTTATAACCAGAAAAAAAAATTTTCTTTTTTCCTTTTTTCTTTGATTTATTCACATCACGACGAATTGGCTTTTTAATCAAGGGACTTTAAAACGTGTTCAGTAGCCGAGAAAAGAATCCAGTGCGGACCTGCTTTACGAATGACGCAAGTGCGTACCTGAAAAAAAATGTCAGTATAGGTAAGGAAAAAGAATACAAATAAGGAAACAAAACTTGGGGAAAAAATCTTCACCATTGATAATGATGTCATGAAGTGATCGAAGCCAAGGGCAACGATATCCATATATAAATTTTTTTTCAGCCAAACAATTTGAACTTTCCAAAGTGGCAAAGACAATCAGATTCTGAGAACGAGCAAGGTCAATAATTGTATGAGTTTCACAAACTGTAGTGTACAAAAAAAACTGCGCTCTACTTTATGAGTTATAGACACATTTTTAGTCATTTCGGAAGACTTAAATTCCAATTTTTTTCCGAGGGAAACTCAACCGCCAGTCTTTGATATGGAAATCATTTTTCATTCTCATTCAAATAATACTCATTTTCATGAGAAAGGTTGTGCGCCTAGCCTCATTTTGAAAGCGAGGATTTTTGGAACTCGGAAGTGGCCTATTACATTCAAACCAGCTTATTTTTCTACCCTTGACCGTTAAAGCGTTTCGTTCGTGAACCTGAGCAGATGTACTAAAACGCAACATACTAATTGAAGCAAGCTCCGGCATTTAAGGTCATAAGTTGGAAAACGGAAAAAGATTATCAAGTCTTCCTCTTTAAAAAAGTTATCGTATTGTACTTACAAATGGGCAAGTTTGCACTTATAGCATGCGTTAGGGCCAGTCAAATGGCTCCCGAAACTTAGACCTGATGAGAAGGAAAGTCGGTGGATGAGCAAAGGGGGAAAAAGCTCGTCTCTTAAGAAAAAGGAAAGAAGGCCAGGGGATTGCAGGTTGAGCTGTTTTCCAGGGTTACCGGTCGTGTCAATACAAGCTTCATATCTTCTATCGGTTAATAAAGCTTAATAATAACCCAAAGTGGTTCAACCAATCCGAAAAAGTAAAATGTACCAAACAGTAGAAATCACGTGTCTTGGCGCCAAATCAGCAGGGTGATTGTTTTTCAGATTTTTTCGTTTTAAAAGAAATTTAAAAGCACTTTGAAACACTCGCAAGTTTTCTTTATATCATTGTTCTTTCCTTATAAAGTCGTTGCAACTATTTTTGTAAACCCTTCCTTTTGACTTTTGAGCGGGAAAAATCAAGTCTCGCCTTTCTTTTAAGTGAATGAGGTCGACGTCTTCGATTTGGGTAGAGCTGTATCGCTCCTGCCACGCTAAATTGATGTTGTGGTTTTATTAACATGTTAAAAATGGTCGAAACCGTTCACGATTTACGTTCAGCCTCCAATGATTTCAGCGATGTGACATTTACCGCGAAGTCGGGTTCAAGTTTTTTCTTCCCGTTGGGCAATTTATTGCTATGTGACCGCAAACATGAAAGTGATCAAAACCCAGGGCAAACTCAACCCAAGTTAACCCAAGCTATTTCCCCGTGGAGAGCCTTGGGGAAGACGTCCAGTGTGAATGCATCTATTGATTAATCCAGAAGATATATGCTTCTGACTGAATGTTACATGTATTTGACGGCCTAAATTAGCCTGAATTTCAGATATTCATTCGAGTCGCATACTCCTCTTAGCTCCCCTCAGCTGAGAGGAGCATGCGACTTTATTAACCAATTAAGGAATGTCTGAAATTCAGGCNAGTGCGGACCTGCTTTACGAATGACGCAAGTGCGTACCTGAAAAAAAATGTCAGTATAGGTAAGGAAAAAGAATACAAATAAGGAAACAAAACTTGGGGAAAAAATCTTCACCATTGATAATGATGTCATGAAGTGATCGAAGCCAAGGGCAACGATATCCATATATAAATTTTTTTTCAGCCAAACAATTTGAACTTTCCAAAGTGGCAAAGACAATCAGATTCTGAGAACGAGCAAGGTCAATAATTGTATGAGTTTCACAAACTGTAGTGTACAAAAAAAACTGCGCTCTACTTTATGAGTTATAGACACATTTTTAGTCATTTCGGAAGACTTAAATTCCAATTTTTTTCCGAGGGAAACTCAACCGCCAGTCTTTGATATGGAAATCATTTTTCATTCTCATTCAAATAATACTCATTTTCATGAGAAAGGTTGTGCGCCTAGCCTCATTTTGAAAGCGAGGATTTTTGGAACTCGGAAGTGGCCTATTACATTCAAACCAGCTTATTTTTCTACCCTTGACCGTTAAAGCGTTTCGTTCGTGAACCTGAGCAGATGTACTAAAACGCAACATACTAATTGAAGCAAGCTCCGGCATTTAAGGTCATAAGTTGGAAAACGGAAAAAGATTATCAAGTCTTCCTCTTTAAAAAAGTTATCGTATTGTACTTACAAATGGGCAAGTTTGCACTTATAGCATGCGTTAGGGCCAGTCAAATGGCTCCCGAAACTTAGACCTGATGAGAAGGAAAGTCGGTGGATGAGCAAAGGGGGAAAAAGCTCGTCTCTTAAGAAAAAGGAAAGAAGGCCAGGGGATTGCAGGTTGAGCTGTTTTCCAGGGTTACCGGTCGTGTCAATACAAGCTTCATATCTTCTATCGGTTAATAAAGCTTAATAATAACCCAAAGTGGTTCAACCAATCCGAAAAAGTAAAATGTACCAAACAGTAGAAATCACGTGTCTTGGCGCCAAATCAGCAGGGTGATTGTTTTTCAGATTTTTTCGTTTTAAAAGAAATTTAAAAGCACTTTGAAACACTCGCAAGTTTTCTTTATATCATTGTTCTTTCCTTATAAAGTCGTTGCAACTATTTTTGTAAACCCTTCCTTTTGACTTTTGAGCGGGAAAAATCAAGTCTCGCCTTTCTTTTAAGTGAATGAGGTCGACGTCTTCGATTTGGGTAGAGCTGTATCGCTCCTGCCACGCTAAATTGATGTTGAGGTTTTATTAAAATGTTAAAAATGGTCGAAGCCGTTCACGATTTACGTTCAGCCTCCAATGATTTCAGCGATGTGACATTTACCGCGAAGTCGGGTTCAAGTTTTTTCTTCCCGTTGGGCAATTTATTGCTATGTGACCGCAAACATGAAAGTGATCAAAACCCAGGGCAAACTCAACCCAAGTTAACCCAAGCTATTTCCCCGTGGAGAGCCTTGGGGAAGACGTCCAGTGTGAATGCATCTATTGATTAATCCAGAAGCATATATGCTTCTGACTGAATGTTACATGTATTTGACGGCCTAAATTAGCCTGAATTTCAGATATTCATTCGAGTCGCATACTCCTCTTAGCTCCCCTCAGCTGAGAGGAGCATGCGACTTTATTAACCGATTAAGGAATGTCTGAAATTCAGGCAAGGCCTAAATAATTTTCATCACTTCTTGTAGGAAGGAAGAAGATTGAGAAGAAGTCTTTATTACTAATCTCATTCAATGGTAGTGTTTCCACAGATTAAAGAGACTTGAAAGGGTTTCGCAATCCCTCATCCCACCATCCGCTTTCTCGCGGGGGCATGTCACCCCCATTCCGGATCCCGATTTTTCATGTCTAGTCACTTTTTCTCTTCTGTTTATTTATTTATTTATTTCTTCTATTATTATTTTCTGTAACTGGGATGTAACTAGAGGTTTTAAAGGGTTAGCTGTAGTCATGAGTTAGGCGTTTAAGGCCCTGTTATTTTTGTTTCTGAGGAAGGGGAAGTGGATCTACCCACTCGTCCCTTAGGAAACATGTGTTGTTTTAGTCTGCGCAGCCCACTGTACGCATGTACGTGTACGTCGCAAGAGCTTCCTCTTCCGGTGATTCTCTCTACAGAAATTTGACTGCAAGATCGAAGATGAGTTCTTCTTTGGGTGTCGTTCTCGGTGGGATTTTTGCTCTTGTTGTTGCCGGATATATAGCTCAAAGTCGTCTTCCTCCCCCAAAACCAAAAATTATGGGAATAGACCTAGGGACGACGTTTTCCTGTGTTGGTGTTTATCAAGCTGTAAAAGGCCATGTTGACATCCTGGCCAACGAGAACGGCAGCAAAGTTATTCCCAGCGTTGTAGCCTTTACCGATAGTGGAGTTTTAGTTGGTAACAGAGCCTTGGTTCAAGCTGAATTGAATCCTAGATCAACTATTTATGACGAAAAACGTTTTATTGGGAAGAAGTTCTCAAAAGATGATTTACGAAAACTGTCTTCACTCTACCAGTTCAAGGTCACTTCTGATGAAAAAGACAATCCTAAGTTCGTGATCGAAAGCCATGGAAACCAGACTTTAGTATCACCTGAAGAGATCGGTGCTGTTATATTAAGGGAATTGAAAAGGACAGTTGAGAAAAATATCAGTAGATCTGTTAACCAAGCGGTTATGTCGGTTCCTGCTGAATTCAACATGGCCCAGAGAAATGCCACTGTTAAGGCTGCTTCTCCCGCTGGGAACAACGTTGCCCGTGTCTGTGAGTCTGCACCCACGTCTGTGTCCTCACCGTTTGTTTTGAACCAAAAAAGTCATCTCATTGATATGCATGCCTGCAACCACTGCTCGGACAGTTCACGGGCTCAGACTTACTGACAAGGAGGACCAGTTTACATCCAGGACAAAACACTAACCCAGCATAGTCCCCAGGCGTTTTCCGCTCGGCCATTCCTGGACTCTTCCTTACTCTGTGATGTCACCGAGACTTCGCGCGGACAACGGATCAAGAGAGAACGCCCAGGGACTGGGCTGACACTAACCCAGGCTCTTACAAAAAAAACTGGTAAGATAATGATGGCTGTGTAATGATCTTGTCTCAGTTCAATTAATCGCCCTTTTTTCGGCGGTGTCCATGAGCTGGCGCCATTCATCCTTCTCTCTCCATAAAAAAAACCACAACAACAACAACAACCCATATTCCTGTTCAAAAAAAAATGTCGGATATGTTTCACCGATGTGAAGTCTGCCTTTCCTCTCTTATCAGACCCCACAGCTTATCACCTCACACATCAAACGTGTTCTTCGCACATTGTCTACGCATCCGTGCAGCAATCGTATCAGCCTTAAAGTTACCTGTCTAATTTTTACCTCACTGCGTGGTGCAAGCCCGATTCAGCCTCCTCTGGAACCAGACTATCCCTGTTTAAAAACTTTTCCAGTCCACTAGGTGACATACAATCTCAAAATGAAATGTTGTGCCTATAAACTATGAGGAGCAATGGAGAAACTTAGTTAATGATTTTTATCGTGGTTTTCTAGTGTACCTTTTATTTCTTATGCATAATGGTTTACATTAATTCCATGTAGAAATAACTTTTTGTTTATCTACAAAAATATGAACAGGATCTAGAGTTAATTTAAAAGCTGGTCATTTATTACTTGTGAGGTGTGGGGAGCCGCCATTTTGAGAAGTAGAAAAAGGCTTAGAGAAGATTTTCAAACCGAACCCTTTCTGCATCACAGCTTTTTAAAAATGACCCCTCGTGAATTTTACATATCGTGAAAGTGATCATCCCTCCCTTAACCCGATGCACCCGATTACCGTGGAAATTGCGAAACACTGATATTGGCTGCAAATCGTGACGATGTTCACCTGGACATAATTCATCCGAACAGTCTTGTTTATAAGATCGGTGTTCCTATACTATTCACATTCAATTATCATTCACGCTCCTTTAACTGCCTTTTTAATACTTTCATGAAATTTATTAAAATGACCCCCAGATATTAAAAGCTTTCTCATCTGAAAATAAACCCCGAAAAATCAAGGATTTCAAAATGAACATCCAGTAAAATGGCCGCCCTCCACCCTCCCTCACAGGTAATAAACGACCGGTCCCTTAGGATAGATTTCGTTTGGCGTGTTTGGCACAAAAAAAATTAACCTAGATCAGTTTCCTTTCACTGCACCAAAATATATCCCATAGCCTTAATATGTTTATGGCCATTGTCTGGAGAATCAACAGCTTCGTTTCCACATGAGTTGGTTTTATCAGGATCTCCTCCAGTACCAAACCCAATTCTAGAGTTACAGGACCCGCAATTGTCTCCGTTGTTACTAATGATACCGATCCTGGCTTTGGAAGTTTCCCATTCACTACTAGCAGCATTGAATCCTTCCTTGTTACAGTTGTCCTGCAAGGAGGCATCAGAACCAATCAGTGACTTCCACGTGTCACGACCCAGTGAGGTGTTGCGGTATTGCCCATCAGCGATTAGAGAGTACAAGGAGTTCGCCTGCTTGTTGATAACAATAAACTTGGACTGGTTGTCATTGATCTTCATACCGAGGCAGATCTTGGAGAAGGATGTGTTCCAGTAGGAGGGAAGTTTGGTCTCCTGTGAGTCAAACCCAGTCTTCCCTCCGTCAAGGTTAAAGGTTTCATTGTTGCTCCAGAGAGGGGAACTGTATTCAAAAGTTTGCTGTGAGAGAAACAGGTACTTTGCCGTCAAATTAATTGAACGATAAATTACTGATGTATACAACATGACATTTGCGATGTCCTTTCCTTATAGTCCTACCAATCCAGAGTTAAGAACGTTTTTCTATATCTTGTTACTGTTTAGTTCCTATTTTTAACGTATCGCTCAGCGAATTTCGTTATATATTTTTCTTCGGACTGGGGAACCCAGGCTTCATAAGCCTTCTGCAGACTCGTACCCAGTCGTTATTTAAGTGTTTTCTTGGGGTGAGAGAAGATTGGGGATTAGGTTGAGGTGCGCGCGGGGTCTTCTCCCCTTCCCAAGAGACCTCGCACGCGCCTCAACCTAATCCTCAATCTTCTCTCACCCCCAAAAGAACTCTTAAATAGCGACTTACAATTTCTATATGTATTCCTGTATTGTATTATATTTTGGCTAAATAAAAATGAACTGAATTGAACTGAACGCAGAATAAGAACGCTTCGCCTGTTTTATTTTGGTGATGTTAGCCTCTGCATGGGTGCCTGCAGCCGTCGATTTTGTCCCGCATTTTCCATCAAATCGTCGTTTCTTCAGGGGAGCACGAAATCATCGCATATTAAGCATTTTTTTGCGTGGTAACGCTACCAGCAAGCTCAGCCCAACCAATGGTGATCTTCGCGTTCGATTTCGTCGGAAACACCCATACAGAGGCTCTGATGTCCCTACTATCTAAAAGCCTGACACAGGCTACTTCGTACCCTGTTGCCGTCCATCTTCATGACCGGTGTCCATCCTCCATCCCCACATCCAAAATTTCCCATGTGACAGAAAACGGATGTTGGCTTTGAGTCAAAGATAATTGTAATCATCTGTGTCTTCCTAGACAAAGAAGACACTTTTTGGTTAACAACTACAGTGAAACCTGTATTAGGCGGACAGTAGAGCATTCCCTAAGAGTGTCAAAACATGCAGGTTTTTCACTGTTTACATAGAAAAAAAAACAGTTTCACAACCTTGCCTAGTACTAAAGCGTTGGTGTCATTTAAAACCAACTCGAGTAAAAAAAGACTTTAATGAAAAATAGAAGTAACCTACTCGTCTGGGTTCTCTTGATACCAGTCTTGACATGACTTGATCGCTGAAAAAAATGATCATATTCACTAGTAGTCCTGCTAGTGTTGATGTCCTCTATTCAAACTAAGACAAGGGCACTTTTTCAGTTTCAGTCAACGCTTTTTTTGTTACCTATTTGGGAAGATGCTCCAATAATTCCCTCATTACAAGGGCAGTTGAGATGTCTCGAATTTTGCGCACAAGTATGTTCGTTGCAACATGTCCAGTGAGTACCTGAGGTCTGAAAGTANAGTAGGAGGGAAGTTTGGTCTCCTGTGAGTCAAACCCAGTCTTCCCTCCGTCAAGGTTAAAGGTTTCATTGTTGCTCCAGAGAGGGGAACTGTATTCAAAAGTTTGCTGTGAGAGAAACAGGTACTTTGCCGTCAAATTAATTGAACGATAAATTACTGATGTATACAACATGACATTTGCGATGTCCTTTCCTTATAGTCCTACCAATCCAGAGTTAAGAACGTTTTTCTATATCTTGTTACTGTTTAGTTCCTATTTTTAACGTATCGCTCAGCGAATTTCGTTATATATTTTTCTTCGGACTGGGGAACCCAGGCTTCATAAGCCTTCTGCAGACTCGTACCCAGTCGTTATTTAAGTGTTTTCTTGGGGTGAGAGAAGATTGGGGATTAGGTTGAGGTGCGCGCGGGGTCTTCTCCCCTTCCCAAGAGACCTCGCACGCGCCTCAACCTAATCCTCAATCTTCTCTCACCCCCAAAAGAACTCTTAAATAGCGACTTACAATTTCTATATGTATTCCTGTATTGTATTATATTTTGGCTAAATAAAAATGAACTGAATTGAACTGAACGCAGAATAAGAACGCTTCGCCTGTTTTATTTTGGTGATGTTAGCCTCTGCATGGGTGCCTGCAGCCGTCGATTTTGTCCCGCATTTTCCATCAAATCGTCGTTTCTTCAGGGGAGCACGAAATCATCGCATATTAAGCATTTTTTTGCGTGGTAACGCTACCAGCAAGCTCAGCCCAACCAATGGTGATCTTCGCGTTCGATTTCGTCGGAAACACCCATACAGAGGCTCTGATGTCCCTACTATCTAAAAGCCTGACACAGGCTACTTCGTACCCTGTTGCCGTCCATCTTCATGACCGGTGTCCATCCTCCATCCCCACATCCAAAATTTCCCATGTGACAGAAAACGGATGTTGGCTTTGAGTCAAAGATAATTGTAATCATCTGTGTCTTCCTAGACAAAGAAGACACTTTTTGGTTAACAACTACAGTGAAACCTGTATTAGGCGGACAGTAGAGCATTCCCTAAGAGTGTCAAAACATGCAGGTTTTTCACTGTTTACATAGAAAAAAAAACAGTTTCACAACCTTGCCTAGTACTAAAGCGTTGGTGTCATTTAAAACCAACTCGAGTAAAAAAAGACTTTAATGAAAAATAGAAGTAACCTACTCGTCTGGGTTCTCTTGATACCAGTCTTGACATGACTTGATCGCTGAAAAAAATGATCATATTCACTAGTAGTCCTGCTAGTGTTGATGTCCTCTATTCAAACTAAGACAAGGGCACTTTTTCAGTTTCAGTCAACGCTTTTTTTGTTACCTATTTGGGAAGATGCTCCAATAATTCCCTCATTACAAGGGCAGTTGAGATGTCTCGAATTTTGCGCACAAGTATGTTCGTTGCAACATGTCCAGTGAGTACCTGAGGTCTGAAAGTAGC